TTTTTTTTTTTTTTCTTCTTCTTCTTTTTTTTTTTTTGTGCTTGGCCTAAAAAGTCGTGTTCCTACCATAAAAGAATGCCGATTATCTAGTGTGTTAAGTTTTGCCAGAAGCAAGCAAGACGAGGTTGCCCCTCTCCCAATCGGTCGAGCTGCTTTGCCCCTATCTCTAAAGTTCGTAGACAAGGTTCGTTCCGACTTGACTAAAGAGCTGGTGTGGTACTCGTCCCTATCTTTAAAGGGGCTTATGCACGCTACTCGCTGTCGTATAAACATGCACGCTACTCGCCGTCGTGTAAAATATATTTATGTAGTAATTTCCAATTCAGGTTGCTATTTTATTCCTACGCTTTTAATATTTTAAAAATAAAAATAACATTAAATATTACATTATTAATTTAGATCAATACAAATTGTTACATATTTTAAAATGGAGAATTGCAATTAAAAAAATTTATAAATTAATAAAATAAGTATAAAATATATTATAAATTATACCAAATAACACAAAAACATAAAAATCAAACTCCATTTTTCATTCCAATAATTGTTTTCAAATTTTTGTGTTAGGAATTTGATTTTGTGGATTCTTTTTAATCCTCTCGCGCTCTTAGTTCCAAAAAAAACCTGGAAACTCTTGGTTTTCCGCCATTTTCAGCGCTTGATTACTGAACCCTAGAGACAAAATGGAAATTTCATTTGATAATTTTAATCCGAGTTGTAAACCCTAGATTGATTTACGCTCGAACACATCCCATTTTGGGAGGCACTGATCATCAAACACGATCGGTATACAAGCCATTTTATATTGCAGGAAAGGTGTTCGACGAAATGCTACCTGCCAATATCGCACCATTTCTTATGCTCCACCTTGCAATTCTTTCAGCTTCGGTCGCCTTTCAGATCGCCATTGTCGTTCTTGTTACTATCTGAGTTGTTTCCGTCGTCGACGACATCGGAATCAGTGATTCCGATTCCGATTCCGATTTCAATTCCAAATCCAACGGTTTCTTGTTCCTTTATTTCTGCAGAACAGCGAGTGAGGGACTTTTGAAGGTGAGGCTCGAGCTTCTTCACGTCGGAAAGTTGAAGAGGCTTCAAAAGGAATTCCTCTGCCCCTTCTTCCAAACACCTGTAAGTTAAATTGCATTTGTTTTGTAAGTTCATACATTCATTTCACGATTACTCTGTGAATTAAACTAAAATTTGAATTTTAGAGAAGAAATCGAGTGAGAGAGCATCAATTTTTTTACATGTTGATTCTTGAAGGCTCGTTCTCTGATGACATGACAACAACAGGAATGTCTTTCCAGTAAGATCCCTGCAAATACACGTATCAGGTAAGCAATCATCTTCTAACATTAATATTTTAGCTCTAAGTTTTATTATCAAATTGTGTGATTTTTTCAATAATTTTTTCATAGAGAAATTTTAAAATAAAATAAGTTTTTTATAATAAAAAAAATCAATCTAATGGGTTTTAGAGGTGGGGAAAAATAAAGAATTAAAGTGGGAACAAACATTCATTGATGGTGGGCTTCATTAAATGCATGAATTCTGAGATCTCACATAGGTTGGAGAGGAGAACACAATTTTTATAAGAGTGTAAAAATTGTATTTTAAAACTCTTGAGTGGAAGATTGGAAGGAAAAATTCAAAGAGAACAACGATATCACGGGTTTTAAAATCTTGAAGGGATATATATAGAAAGGGATAATATCTGCAATAATCTAAAATTTAGAGGTGGAAAAAAATAAGTATTAATTTGTTGTATGTATGAAAGGGTAGTAGTGGAATTGACCTTGAGTCGTTTGAGTAGATCATAGCCACTCATTCCAGGCATGCAGTAATCTGTCATGATTAGGTTGACTTTGACTTCCTGTGTTTCGTGGATATTCAAAATTTAAATAATTCATAAAATAATAATAAAAATCAAGGCTTATTCTTCATCAATTCCCGGCAGATTGAACGCCGTTGAAAACCTGTATTTTTTTATTTGTATTGTACCTCAAATTTTCTTCCCATTTGATGCTTAATGTCTTTCTATAAAAAATGCACAAAATTAAAAATAAATAAATAAAAAACAGTCTTTTTAAAAAATGGAAGATATAATAACATTTTATTAAAAATATTTTATTTTATAACTATTTAAATTAGAAGACATTTCAAACGAACTCTCGATATCTCAATCGAGATCATCTTCACTAAAAAATTTAAATAGTTATAAAATCCATTTGAAATACCTTTTAATTTAAATATATTATATCTTACCCATTTTCAAAATTTATTATAAATATTTTTATTATTTTACTTTTGGCTAAATAAAGTCATTTTTTTTCAGAACTCCTGCAAATTTCTTTTGAACTGATTTATTATTATTATTATTTATTTATTTTTTAATGTTCTAAAATCTAATAATTTTTGTTTAAAGGCTATAATAGAAAAAAAAATTAATTAAAATGACCTGTTGTTGGGAGAGACGTGGGGGAGAAAATGGAGAAGAAAAGTTGTCAAGGTCATCAAGCAGGCCCAGATACCTTAGAGCCTTATCTCCAGACTCCACGCAGGTCACTGCTGGGCATTGGATTGTATTATAAAATGGTTTTAAAAAAGAAAGTATGTGAATTTAGCTATGGATTGGATTTCTTACCTTCGCATGAAGAAGAAATTGTTAGGAGCTTTTCCAGAACCTTTCTTTCTAGTAGGCTGTCGTCCACTGCCAGCACGTGGAAATGCTGCTGCTGCTGCTGCTGCTGCTGCTGCACTTCTTCTTCTTCTTCTTCTTCTTCTTCTTCTTCTTCTTCTTCTTCTTCTTCTTCTTCTTCTTCTTCTTCTTCTTCTTCTTCTTCTTCTTCTTCTTCTTCTTCTTCTTCTTCTTCTTCTTCTTCTTCTTCTTCTACGTCTCCTGCTTTCATCAACTCCATTATGTTTTCAGAGGTAGAGAAGAAATGAATGGGATCAGGGTGGTGGGTCTGCTAAGATTGCAGCTTTTATGCACCCACTCAAGAGAGAGAACCTAACCAAATAGTTCTAGATTAGATGAATGACGTGTGTGTCGTGCTCGTGGTGGGGGACGGGGACGGGGACGGGGACGGGGACGGGTATTTCAAATCTTATAAGGGTGTGGAAACCTCTAACTAACCAACAGTGTTTTAAAAATCTTGAAAGGAAACCCAAAAACGGCTGGCGGTGGGCTTTGGCCGTTACGAATGGTACCAGAGTCAGACATTAGGTGATGTGCCAGCGAGGAGGCTGTTCCTTGAAAGGGTAGACACGAGAAGGCGTGCTAGTAAGGATGTTGGGCTTCGAAGGGGTGGATTTGGTGAGAAAGGAACAAGTGACAGTAAGGACACTGAACCTTGAAGCGGGTGGATTATGAGATCTCACATCGGTTGGAAAGGAGAACGAAACACTCTTTATAAGGGTGTGGAAACCTCTCTCTAGTAGAAGTGTTTGAAGACAATATCTACTAGTAGTGGACTTGAGCCGTTACAACTTAGATTCATCCGTCCACTCAATTATCCAACCACAGTTTGAAATCTTAGAATGCACTCCACTTTGTTGTAAGATCCGAAAACCTCATTTTTTATAAGGACGTGGAAACTTCTCCTTAACCTACACGTTTTAAAATTTAAAATGAAAAATTTAATAAAACAATATCCGCTAACGATACACATATAAGTAGAGTATTGTTATTGTTATGATTTGTATTTCCAATATTGGGAAGATCTGTGTCTAGATTCTACATACCCCATCGGTACCACATCCACTTATCTTTTTCTTTCAACTCTTTTCCTTTTCCCCTTTTACTTTCTTCATTAACATTTTGTTTGATTGCCAACGAAAAAAAAAATCATGATTATGATGGAAATTAAAAGAGTTGATTTTGGGTGTTAATTGGATTTTATTCACTTAATTAAACACCTTTCTCATATTAATTACAATTTAGAACTAATCACACTATCATTGAAATGGACCCTCCCCTCCAATTCAAGATAAATAGTATTTTAATAATATAATATATATATATATATATATATTTTAATTTCTAATTAATGTCGATATCAATTTTCACGCTCGATTATTATTAATGTCTCAATTTTTATAGAAATATGGTAAAAAATATTTATATATTATATTATTAAAATACTATTTATCTTGAATGGGATGCTATGTAATTTTAGTCTTTAATAAGTAATAACTTCACTCGGTGTGAAATCAATACGATTTGATTTCTACAAATTTCTATATTTATTTCTCTGATTTCTTTTTTAATTTGTCAGAAAAAAAAAATCTTCCTGAACTTATGAAATCTAGAACAAAATCCGAATAATATCAATATAGCCTTTAAAAACTCGTCTATTTAAGAAAATTCTAGAAGGGTTTTACTTGAATTGCATGCCAAAATTATATACCTACCAAGCCCCTTGCCCTTCCCCCATTATTGTAATTGATTGCTTAAGCTACAAGCAATACCCATGGTAAATAATTTAAATTATTCACAAAAATTACTCTATCTATTAGTCTATATTGGATGTTTATTGGGAGTGAGTCCCACGTTAATTAATTTAATGGAAGATCATGGGTTTATAAATGGAAAATATTATCTCTATTTGAAGGAGGGCTCGAGAGAAAAACCCAAAATAAATTCATAAAAATTTATACTTAAACTAGACAATATCAATATTGAATAGGCAAATTTGGATACACACCGTGTAGTTATTAGAATATTGAGCACTTAAATGGCAAAGAGAAATAATGTATTATTAATTAATTAATTATTGAATATATAATACAATAATTATAAATAAATATATGTATATTAGGACACCTATTACAGAGACAGCGCGTGGAAGGGATCTACCTGAATAAATAAAGGCAATTTTTGAGTGGGAGTGGGGCCCACTCCACCTCACTCTTACCCTATGTTGCAATTTCTTCACGAATTTGGTTTTCTCTCTTATGAAAAATCTCTGGTGGGGTCCACTTTGCAAGATCTTTGGTGGGCCCCACAGTTTCCTTCCGTTGCTCTTTTTATCATTTTTTTTCTTTTTTCGAATCGGCAAGAAAATAATAATAATAATAATAATAAAAATTAAAATTTTAATTACACGTTCTTGTCTGCCACGTGTTACTGTTCCCATGTGTTGTTCGTCAATCATAGTCTGTCAGCCAGTAAATGGATATCTGACGTGGATCAATCTCAATGGTTGGATTTGAGCATTCTTTTCCCTTCTCATTATTCTATTCCGTGCAGCTCTCTTGCTTTTCAAATAAAATAGTCCTAATAAGATTAAAATATATATATATATATTAAATTATAAATACCTAAAGATTTTTATCTATTTGCTTCCACATTTTTAAAATTTTTAATTTTATATCCAATAATTTCCTAAAACTTTAATTATTCATTGACTTATATAATTTAAATAGTGAATTTAATAAATATAAAATTAAAATTTTGTTGTACTAATTTTATCCAATAAAGTAATTTTAAAAATTAACTTAAACTGATATTTCAAAAACCTATTAAATATTTTAAATACAAAATTACAATTTTAATATTTTATTAGGTAGAGAATTTTGGAAATTAAGTATAAAATTTAAAAGTTTATAGCATTGGTTATATTTATATTAAAATAGGTTGATAATTAAGGAAAAATAAAATGGACCCATACGTACATAAATTCAGGATCTTATTAACCAATCTTTTCTCAATAAGGTCATCCAAGAATCATATTCACAGATTTCCTTCCATTTACTTTCTGGGGCCTACCTTATTTCTTTTCCAGTCCTCACAGTTCCTCAGAGAAAACGACGTCGTTTTCTAGGAATGATTCCATGTGTCGTGTTTACCCTAAATTGGTGAAAGGATAGATTGTCTAAATAGTTTTAAATTAAATCTCGAGTTTTGTATAAATTTTTCAAATAATTTTAACAATTTATTACTTTCAAACCTTTTGAAATTACCATATAAATGTTTAAATAATTTGGGTCTAATATGAATTTTTCAGTTTTATATATAAACTATGAGATTTTTAAAAATATAATTAATATACTAAGAAATTACTTACTCATCTATAGACCTAAAATTTTAAAAATTGAATTAGTAATATCAACTTTAATGTAATAATAGTAGACCAAATTAAAAATTTTGAAAAATATGAACAAAAACACGCTCAATTAGATCTAGTACGATAGACTAATGATTCACATCAAATGTGCTAGTCAATTAATAATTTACTAAGTATATCTATTGAAGTTAAGCCAAAAATCAATAAATGAAGGCTATACACCGCAAGCTTATGAAAAGAAAAAATCTTGATATATCACACCAAATTGAATAATATTTCGTGTAAAATCTCTTTATTTAAAAAAAAATTAAATAAGTTTGAAAAAAAAATAATTAACTTGACAAAGTGGCAAAATTCACATTAATCGATTGCTGAGTCTGTTATGGAGAAGAAAAGGAAGGGTGAGGAGAAAAGCCAAAGTATTGACTTTAAGTCAAATCAATATTTATTCTTTTACGCTTTAAAAAAGGAATAATAAAAAATTAAATAATATATATTAGAGACTGTTGTTTAAATTTATTATTGAAATCTAAGTAATTACTGATTTAATATTTTAATATAGACTAAAAGGATTTAACTTTAAAAAATAATGGAATAAACTTGTAATTTAACTTTAATATATTAAATATATGATATAAAAATTAATTTAATGCCCCACCGAGTACTATGATTATTTTTAGGTATCAATTTGTCTAGAAACTATGTGTTTCTTAATCATTTGAGGACCAAAATCCGAGATTCAAATGTTCTGTTTGTTACAACTTTATGGGTCACGTCGGTGGCCGGCAGGTGATGTCCGGTCGTGCCCTTGCCGGAGCAGTAACCGGTCCGGCGGATCTGCGTGCCCGTTGTCACGGTCATGCTCGTCCGAGACGTGTTGTCTATGAATGCATGCCTCTGACAAGCCAAACCCTTTTTGTCTTTTCATATTCTAGTATTTTACTTTTGAATTTATAGGAAGTATAACGTTTCAAAAGTATCATGTCTAGGCCTGTCAGACATCTCAGAATATATTATAGGGGATACGACTAGTTGTCAACTTCTTTTTACCCAAGGTTATATACTATGAGCCGTTGTTATTTCTCTCTTGCTTGCTTCTTTAAAAAATCTCTTTCTGCTCTCGTTTTCTAAAACCTTCTCTTAAAATCGAGGCCAGAGGCTCGAGCATATGTCGCTTGCCCGTAGACGACGCAAGAACGAATTGGCTTAGCTCACTTGTCTTTGGAAAGTGAGTGCAGCACAATTGTAAGTTCGCTGCCATCAAAAGTGCGATTGTGACACCTGTGACACATCGTCCCTTTCTTAAAATGAAAGCTGTATTCTTCTTCCTTATTTTAAGGTAAAAGCAATTTTGGTTTAAATTCCTTACAAATATAATTGGAGCTTTGAAATTTGAGCTTTTGATAAACTCTTTTTGCCAGCAGTATTTTATTCACTTTGGATTCTTTTTTTTTAAATAATTTATGACATTTTTTTTATCTACTAAATTTGTATATCCGGAAGAATGATGACCTGGGAGTGTTTGTGCACACGGATTGAATTGAGTTACATTCGTAAAATTTCTTAAATTCATTAGAAATTTTAAGTTGAATTTATGATCTAAATAATTAGAATGGAGTTTATAATTAAATTTATGATTCATAACTCAATTCTCTAATTTCAATGAATAAAATTGATTTTTTAAATTATTTAAAAAAATTATATTTATTAACCATACATTTCCTATTAATAAATAGAATCTCATAAATTTTAAATATAAAATATTTACGAGTCACAATATATTAGTAATATAAGTTATAAATATTAAACATTTTTAATAATTTTAAAGTAAAACATGCTTGGGTTGAATTCTAACCCTATTCTTGAGACCCGACTAAAAAAATATATATATATATATATATATATATATAAAAGAGTTATTCGGTCATGTAAATACCTCTACTTGATTTTTTTTACAGAAAGAAAATATGAATATAATTTAAGTATATATCGACTCACGAAAATAACATTTATTTATTATTATTATTATTATTATTATTATTTTGGAGCTTTGGTGGCACATTGTAGTTTTACTTATTTTGGAGTATATAGTTCTTAGTTTATTTCAAGCTAAGTCATTAATTTTTAGAGATATTTATTTAACAAAATAATTTAAGTATAAATAAAAGATAACTTCAAAATGCCATTGGGCCAAAATTTGACGAAGAGATGGCTATCCAGTCTTATTGTTTGTGGAGCCCAACTATTTCAAAAAATAAATGAACCATATTGATCCCCTGCCCTATTTAACGTTAGTTCAAACACGGTTGAGTCGGAATTCGAACCTCTTTTTTATGGTGTTCGAACCTTTTTCTTAGATGATTTTACGACTACCCATGACACAAGCTCCTCCCATAAGTGACAACGATCGAACCAACAACCAATGGCTACAACCTGTAGACCCACGACGTGTGAAGGTCTCTCCTTCATAAAACTATACTCGTGTTTGCAAGTGAACCATGTTTTTTCTCTTTCAATAAATTAAGTTACATTTTTATTTTATTTTAATATAAAATTAAATAATAAATTTTAGAAAATACATGAACCAAAATAAACATTTTGAAAATATAATATTTAAAATGATTTGAAATAAAAAAAATATATTGCCCAAAATAACGGTGAAAAAATATAAATAACAAAAGAGGGTTTAAATCATGAACAATTTAAACTCTTAATTAGAATTTCATTTTAAATTATTAATGGCATATTTTTTTAAAAATAATATAAATAAATTAAAAATGTTTAAATGAAATAGACCATAACAATTTTTATTCAAATTTAAGAGTTTTTTTTTTTTTTTTTTTTTTTTTTTTTTTTTTTTTTTGGGGGGGGGGGGGG